TAAGATACACTGGGTCTATTTCTGACAGAGCAAGGGAGAAACAAGGAAAACAGGGACTCAAAGAAACTAGTGTACAGGATTACTACGGCCTCATATAGCCTGAGACCAGGAAAACTAGAAAATATCTAGCTTCAACTGTTGCTCATTTTAATCGGGGCCACAAGAGAGGGAGTCTAACAGAAGGAGAGAAAAACAAGACAGAACCTCAAATTCCTGTACACACAGATGTCTGGCCTATTGGACTGGTTTTGACTAGCTGTGGCTACATGTTGTTGAGTCAAGTACAACTCACAGTAACCTTATGAACAACAGATCAGAATGCTGTCCCATCCTGCACCATCCTCACCATCTTCAATATATTTGAGCCCACCACTGCAGTCACTGTGACAATCCATTCTGTTGGTATTTCTCTCCTTTGCTGACATTGCACCTTTCCAAGCATGATGTTCAAGGAATATCCCCTCCTTTAACAATAGGCCTGAAGTTTGTGAGATGAAGTTTCACCACCTTTGCCTTTACAGTGCACTTGGCTTAACTTTCTCCAAAACTTATGTTTTTTCTTTTGGTAGTCAATGGGACACTCAGTATGCTAGTCTGCAATACAACTCAAAGGCATCAACTATTTTGTTATCCTTAAATATTGTCCAGCTAGAAAGACTATGGTTTGAATCAGGTGCACCTTTGTTTTTAAACAAACAACCAAACAACAAACATTGCTCTTCAGGACTTCCTAAAGGTTCCTACAGCAGACATTCCTAACACTATACATTTCTTGATCTCCTGAATGCTGGTACCAAGGATACTGACTGTGGAACCAAGTAAGCTGAAAGCATTGCCGATTCCACTCTTTTCTCCATCTATTCTGATGTGGCCTATTAGCCCACTGGTAAGGATTTTTGCTTTCTTGATAGTGAAATATAATCCATATTGAAGTCTGTAGTATTTGATCTTCTGCAGCAAGCACCTCAAATTCTCCTTGCTGTCAATCAGCAAGGCTGTGTCATTTGCACAAGTTGCTGATGAATTTTCTTCCAATCCTGATGCCATACTCTTCTTAAAAGTCCAGCTACTCTAATGATTTGCTCAGCATACAGACTGAATAGGTATGAAGAAAGGATACAGCCCTGACACACATGATTTTAAACCATGAAGTGTCGGTTGTTCTGTTCAGACAACTGTTTCTTGGTCTAGGTTTAGGTTTCTTATAAGTATAATTAAGTGTTCTGGAATGTCCATTCATCTTCATGTTAGCCTTTGTTTGTTATGAACCACACAGTCAAATACTTTTGCAGGGTCAATAAAGCACAAATAGACATTCTTCTGGTATTCTCTGCCACAATCCATCTAACATCAGCAATCATATCCCTGGTGCCATGGCTTGAGCATTTGGCAGTTCTGTCAATGGACTGACTGTTCTAGTTACTCTTTAATATCTTCAGTAATTATTTTGCTTGTATGTGATGGAAATGATATTGTTCTATAATTCCCACATTCTGCCGGATCTCTTGGGAATGCAAATATGGATGTCTTCCAGTCAGTTGGTCAGGGAGATGTCTTCCAAATTTTCTGGCACATAGTGGTGAGATGTCCAGGACTGCATCTATCACCTGAAACATGTCAGTTGGTATTCCGTTGATTCCTGGGGCCTTATTTTTTGCCAGTGCCTTCAGTGCAGCTTGAACTTCTTCCTTCATTACCATTATTAGTTCTTGACCTTATGCTGTTGTTGTTGTATACCACTGAGTCAAAAGTGACACATAGTTGACCTTCCAGGAAATTTTCAGAGGCAGTTTTAATCACACAGGAGATTGCCCAAGCTTCTCCCACAGAGCAGTGGGTGGATTGGAACTGCATGCCTTTGGGATTGCAGTGCAGTTTCTTGTCACTAGGCTCCCTACTTCCAGAACTACTTTAATGTCAGCCAATTCTTTTTGGTACAGTGCCTCTGTGTAGTCTCTCCATCTTCTTTTGATGCTTCCTGGATCATTCAAGATGTTTCCCATAGCATCTCTCAGTACTGCAACTTCAGGCTTAAATATGTTCTGCAGTTCTTTCAATTTGGGAAATGCAACCAAGTTCTCCCTATTCAACTCTCAAACTCCAGGACTTTGCACATTTTTTATAATACTTTGCTTTGTCTTCTTGTGTGCTGCCCTTTGAAATATGTCTATTTCTTTCACTTCAGAATCCCTTCCCATTGTTTTGAGCTCTCTATGCTCCAGTGCAATTTTCAGTCCCTGCTGATCCATTTTGGTCTTTTCTTTCTCTTCTGTGCTTGTAATCTCTTAATGGATGATTATCTTAGATGTCATCCAACACTCATCTGATTACAAGTGTTCAATATCAAATCTATTTTGAGATTATTTTCAAATTCAGGTGGGACAGATTCAAGGTCATATGTTGGTTCTTGTGGACTTGTTTTCATATTATTCAACATCAATTTGAACTTGCACATAAGTAGTTGATGGTCTGTTCCATAGTTAGCACCCGTTCTGGTTTTGACTGCCGATAATGAGCTTTTCCAACAATTCTTTCCACTGATATAGTCAATTTGAATCCTGTGCAGATGGTATTTGCAATGAATCACTGAACATACAAAATTCAACCATTTGATTTACAGTCTCATTTATGTCCCCAAGTCCCTAGTTTCCTATTACTATTCCTTCTACTTTGTTTCCAACTTTTGCATTCCAGTCACCAAGTATTGCCCTTACTCTTTAAACTGTGAACCAAAACCAACCTTGTAGCAAAAAAAAAAAAAGAGTATCACATACAAATACAATGTTCCTTTCAAAAATCATCTATATGAGTGAGATAAAACTTTAAAAGTTAAAATGCACCTTATAACAGGCAGGAGAAGTAAATTAATGAACTAAAACAACCAAAACAGAAATAATGAGAATGATCACACACTGAGTGGTAAGAATGTAACCAACGTTACTGAGTACTTTGTGTAGAAATTGCTATATTAGGGGAGCTCTGGTGGCCTAGTGGCAAGGAGCTGCAACTACAATCCCAGAGGCGCACAGTTCGAATCCACCAGATGCTCTGCCGGGGAAGGAGGGGCAATCTCCTCCTGTACCAGTCAGATCTGATTTGATGGTACATGCACGCAAAAAT